AGTAATTGTTGACCTGTGCGCATGTATGTTAATAGTAGGTCATATAAAAATAGGTTAATATTTGCAACTAATTTTTTTTATTCATGTCTGTATATTTAATGGCGGGGCTCGGGAGCAGCACTTCCAAATTTTTTTTAAAAGGAAGTTTGTATCCACACTTGCATGTACTTGCACAACAATAGGTCTACCACTGTTATCATAAAACATCAACAAAGATAAAAAAACATGGGAAAAAGAAGAGAAAGCTATTGTCACCATGCCACGATGCACAGACACGAGATTTCAGGTTCAACATGATATTGCCTTGTGCTAATCATGCCATATTGAGCACTTCAAAAAAATAGATCTGCCAATGTAACAAAGGTTCTCATGTGATTTTCTAGTTTTTTGAAGTCCACCAGTGTACAAAACGTAAACAAAACTTGGCATTTTTTTCTTTCAAAAGTTTTTGTTTGCAAGTGCAGACACTTACCCACAAGTAGGTTCGCCGGTGGTCATGTTATAGGAAACAATTTTTTTTTTCTGCAGGGACAATAAAAAGCCTGGGTCCCACAATATAAGGAGATAAAACAAAATATTAACGGGAGCCACATCATATATTATCTCTGTAGGAACTTTTTTTTGTTTTGTGTAACATTACTTATCTATTACCCATAAAAATATCATCATCAAGTATAGGTTTCTTATTTCTATATATGGGGATATGCTAGATTTAATTACCAACTTTAATTGATTTTCTATGATAGATTTGCATAGTGGTTATCATCAGATTCTGCTTAGACCAAGAGATGAGTGGAAGAACCAATAGATGAATGGCAGATTGTTTTTTAAGACACATGATGTTTATATATACGAGTGATTATTAATGCCTTTTGATATATTTAATTCTCTTTGCACTTTAACGAGGGCCATGAGATAAATATTTTACCTTTTCTTTGGGTAAGTTTCTAGTTGTTTATTTTGATATCTTGTCTATAGCAAGTATAAGTTTGACCACTGGAGTCGTTTACTACTCTTCGAGCTGAACATTTTTATGTCAACATTAAAAAGTGCACGTTTCTTTAGAATCCAGCCGTTTTCTTAAGTTTCATATATCTGCGAATGTATTATTAATTTGCTAGCCCTGAGAAAGTCAAATCTAACAGAGAGTGGGCAATTCCTATAGATTTTTTGAGCTCTTCTTGTGGCTAAGTATTTAATGAAATAAAGAGAAGAATGTTTGAACCCTTTGTCTTAGAACTTCACTAAGGTGTTTGAGGTTTTATTTTAGGGAGAAGTGTTTGTCATTTTAAATGATAGAAAGTTATGTCATTTTAAGAGAGATACAGACACAAAAAATTTGAATTTTAAATTAAAAAAACCACTTACTTTCTCTCTCCCATGATTTGGAATAAGAAGGAGTGCTTTAGATCTTTGCATAAAAGTCCCAGTGCAGAGAACCTGCAAAAGTTTAGATTGGCGAGAAAAAATGCAAAGAAAGCAGTGCGAGAAGCTAGAGGCAAGATTTTCGACGAGTTGTATAAAAATCTTGGGAGCAAGGATGGTGAAAGAGGTATTTATAAACTTGCAAAGATAAGGGATAAGAAAAGTAAAGACCTCACCCAAGTTAGATGCATCAAGGATGAAAATCAAAAACTTCTGGTGAGAGATGAAGATGTAAATGAAAGGTGGTTGAAATACTTCAACAAGCTGTATAATGGGGATGGAGATACAAGCGAGGTGGACTTAGAGGACGCGTGTGATGATATGAATAGAAGATTTGTACGCAGAATTAATACACATGAAGTTAAGGAGGCTTTAAAGAGGATGAAGACTAATAAAGCCTTAGGGCCTGATGGTGTCCCTATTGAAGTGTGGAGAGGCCTGGGGGATGTGGCAATAAAATGGTTGACCAATCTTTTTAATAAGATTCTCCAGACGAATAAGATGCCTGATGTATGGAGGAAAAGTATGATTGTGCCTATCTACAAAAACAAGGGAGATATACAGAATTGTTCAAACTATAGAGGCATTAAGCTAATGAGCCATACTATGAAGTTGTGGGAGAGGGTTATTGAACATCGCTTGAGGAGAGATACCAAGGTTTATGTAAATCAATTTGGATTTATGCCAGGAAGATGTACCATGGAAGCAATTTTCTTGATGCGACAACTAATGGAAAGATACCGAGAAAAGAAAAAGGACTTGCATATGGTGTTCATAGACCTTGAGAAAGCATACGATAGGGTTCCAAGGAAAGTTTTATGGTGGGTCCTAGAGAAGAAAAAGGTTCCATTAAAGTATGTAAAGGCAATCAAGGATATGTATGATGGGGCTACTACATGTGTAAAAGCTTGTAACGGATCATCAAGTTATTTTCCTATCACGGTAGGTGTACACCAAGGGTCGGCTCTAAGTCCTTACCTCTTTGCCTTAGTTATGGATGAACTAACAAAAGATATTCAAGAGGAAGTGCCATGGTGTATGCTTTTTGCAGACGATATTGTGCTTATTGATGAGAGCAAGGAGGGTGTTAATAGAAAACATGAATTGTGGAGAAGCACATTGGAATCCAGAGGATTCACATTAAGTCGAAGCAAGACTGAGTATCTGAAGTGTGAGTTTTCTCTGGTACGAGATGAGGACCAAGAACCTGTGCATCTAAATGGTCAAGAGGTACCCAAAAAAGATGCTTTTAAATACTTGGGCTCCATTTTACAAAACGGTGGAGAGATTGATGAGGATGTAAATCACAGAATCAGAGCAGGGTGGATGAAATGGCGCAGTGCATCTGCATTTTTGTGTGACCGCAAAATCCCCTGAAGTTAAAAGGAAAATTCTATAAAACGGCAGTAAGACCGGCAATGCTATATGGAGCAGAATGCTGGCCAGCACATAGGCAACATGAGCATAAGATGGGAGCAGCAGAGATGAGGATGTTAAGGTGGATGTGTGGTTACACAAGGATGGATAAGATAAGAAATGAAGATATTCGACGAAAGGTCGGAGTAGTACCGGTAGCCGAGAAGATGAGAGAACATAGATTGGGGTGGTTTGGGCACGTGTTGAGAAGACCCATGGATGCTCCTGTAAGAACAGAAGTTTGTTACCAAGAGCTCAACACAAAAAGAGGCAGAGGTAGACCGAAGCTTACTTGGGGGAAAGTAGTAAAACAAGATTTAATGGAGTGGGATATAGATTGGCGGTCAGTATGTCTTAGAACGGAATGGAGAAAAGCTATAAGTATGGTGGAGGGTCTATGTTCCAGATGGTCCCTTTTTAGTCCCTTTCCCCTTCATTTCCCCCACTTCTTCTTGTCCCTTTCTTTTTTACTTTTATTTATTTATATATACATATATTGTTATTTTATTTTATCTTATTTTATATTTTTATTTTATTTGTTTATTTTTATTTATTTATTTTTGGCTTTTTTACTTTTATTTTTTATTTTTTATTTTTTTTAACTGTTTTGTATCTTTCATGTGGGTTCATCTACCACTGACCCCAATTAATTTGGGATAAAGGTGTTGTTGATGTTGATGTTGTTGTATCTTTCTCCTAAAATGACATAACTTATATCATTTAAAATGACAAACACCAAACCCTTTATTTTATTTTATTTTATTTTTTAATGCTACTGAGCCTGGCATATGTGGTATTCTTAGCCAAGAGGGTCATCCTATTGCGTTCTTGGGCTTTTGTTTGTGAGAAAAACTACTGAAAAATTCAATGGGTCTGAACCATTGAATTTTTTTCTGAAGTAACATTGGTGTATGATTTCGTATACCCTATTTAATAACTTTTTATAAAACATACTTTTTATTGATATAATGTTGAATTGCAATTATTTATAATATTTATTGTTTATGTCAATTTTTTTAAAGGAAAAAGAAATTATAGGAATATAGTCAAATAATTTTTTATTTTAATATATTTTAAAAATATGTATTATTTTAATTTTAATGTGTACAAATACAAAAATAAATAATTTTTAATTGATATAAAACTTTTATTAATATTTAAATTATTAAAGTAAATATATATTTCATACGGAGATAGAAAGTGCTTTTATGAAATCGTATCAATATATAACTCGCATGAGTAAAAAAACATAATAAATTAGTAAAAATATAATTTATTATTTAAAAAATAAATAAAGATTATTTTATTACAAAATTATTAGAAAAAATAACTTTTACATTATTTAAAATATAAGGTTACTTTAAAAATATTTATCCAGAATATGAATAAAAAATTTATTCATATATTTGATGAATAATTTCAAAGTGTCAAACTAATTTTTACAACTGATGATATGTCTTAGACTAACTTGAAGTACGAAAAATTAGGCAAGAAATAATTTTTTTTGAATGATACAATTTTTTGTGATTATGTAATATAACTATGTTGTTGTTCTCTTCTTATGTTAAGGGTTAAGCATATTTACATTTTCATTCCAAATATATTTGTTTATTTTTTTTTTTTTATTAATGAATTTTTTTTTATCTTTTTAAAAAATATAACTTTGTGCCATTTTAGATCCTAACCGTTAATTTTCATCAATCAACAGTTAAGATTTATTGAGTCAAATTAATTAATTAATTAGTAATTTACAATAAAACTTAATAAATCCTAACCGTTAATTGATGAAAATAAATGGTTAGGATCTAAAATGACAAAAAATTAAATTCTTTAAAAGAACAAATGTTTTTCTACACAATATTTTTTTTTCTCTGATAAACAATAAGCTCTTCTTTAATATATGAATTACCTTTATCATTGACATTTTCATAACTCCTCCATTTTTATTTTTATTTTTTTGAAAATCAAACTCATCCATTAAACGCGTAATTACCCTGCTTTAAACTCAGAAGTTGATATTAACGAGATTAAAAAAATGCCATTAATCACGGGTTTCTCGTCCACGTGGCTAGATCTTGTCTGGTTGTGATGCATAGCAAAACCCTGTTACATCACAGCAAAAGCCATACACTGTGATTTCGCGTTCGCCATTCAAAATCTAAATTTGTATAAACCCTAATTCCTTTTGTGTATTCCATGTCCATGAGGCTTCTACAATTGGGCTTGTTGCTTGCTTTGGCATCTGGAATTGCAGTCATTTTCATTTACATTGCTGGCATCTCTAATCTCTCCGTATGTATGTATGTATGCGTGTGTATCTGATTTTGTGTATTCGAAGCAAAAACCAAAAGCAAATAAGAAATTGAAATGCCTTGAACCTAATGAGTGTAACGATTGACAGATGGCAGTTACCAGCTCAATCATGAAGACACAGAAGCGTTGCAATCGTTGCAGGACAGTTTCGAGAAGTGTGTGGTGATGTTTCCAACTGGTTCTTTTGTTGTTCATATTGTGGCGTGTTCTGTTCCATTTACCTTCAAATTATAGTTGCTTAGTGACATAAGAGATATGATTGTTTTAAGTAGTGAATTTTGAATTAGGAAGTATGTCTTAAACTTAAATTTTGGTTTTGTTTCAATTAGATGGCAAAGTTGTGTGACAAAAAAAAAAAAAACACTCTGGAGATGGATTAAATGTGAAAACTAAATTGGGATTAGTGATTGGAGGAAAGTATTAACTTTCTAGTTCAAGTTTGGCTAAATCTTCGGTATCTAAGGTTGATAAATTTAATGGTAGAGTATTAATATGTTAATACAATGCTTGGTGATTAAAATAGAAAAAGAAAAAAGAAGAAGAAAGACGAAAAATCTAGCATTGCATTGGAAACTTTGATGATTTTAGAGATCCTTTTCTACTACATTTAAAATACGGGAAAAATGTGTATCATTTTGAAGGACACAAAGTTGTGTCATTTTAAGTGAGAGAAAGAGATAGATCATAGGAGAGAGAGTGGGTGGAAAAAGTTTTAAAAGTGTGAGTCTCACCTCTTTGTAAGAGTGAGAGGACACAAGGTGTGTCATTTAAAATGACACACCTTTTTCCCTTAATATATATATATATATATATAAGGTTTAATGTCTCTCATGTTGTAGAAGATAAAATTATCTCCTACACACACATAAAAGTATGTGTGTGTAGGAAATAATTTTATTTCTTACAACATGAGAAACATCAAACCCATATATATATATATATATATATATATGGAAATATTTTTCTTATGTTCCAAACTTTGTTTTTTATCTGAAGGGCAACGCTGGTAAAACGATTTTTATTTTTATTTTGATTGCACCTTGGTGAGGAATCACCCTTAATATGATGGAATTAACTAAAACTAACTGGCATCAGTCTCATTGTTTCAGTATGAAATTTTTTTATTTATTGCAGTACTTTTGGTTTGGATTTGTTTTGTTGTTAATATCAACATTTTATACGTCTTCTTTTCAAATATTGTATTGCAAGTGTGGATTCTTTAGGTGATTCAACTGAGAGTTGCTAAACTTTGATGCAGAGTGCAAATGGACTTGGCCTCAAAGCCGCTAGGGGTGGAGATTATTGTGAAACCACAATAAAGTTCCCCATTGACACCATTCCCAAATGGGTAAGTATTCTTAATCATTTCATGATTTGTGACCAGATTATTTTTCATGAAAATGATCCTCTAAAATATGCTAATTATGAGAAACCTACAACCTTGGCAAAAATGGGTTCCTCCTCTTCAAAAGAATGGATTGTGATATACTTAATCACACACGATTTACAAGAAGTTAAACAACCATAATCTATTTGTTGACTTATGGAAGTTTCTGTGTTAACAGATAGATCCTAAAACTGGTGAACTTGAAGCTTTGTCTTTTGATTTCAATCTATGTGAAGCTGTGGCTACATGGGAACAGGTAAGCAACATGGTCTGTGTCATGATTGTGATTATCCAAGCTATCATCCTTTGACGTCATGAGATGTGAATCCAGATGCTTTTGAGATTTCTATTTGATATTGCTGTTAGCCACAGTGAAAACACATCTTTTTAATCCACCACAATGCATTTCAATTATTCTTGCCATTCTACAGGCATTAATGTCAACTTTCTTTTAACAATTTTTCTTAACTTGCATTCTAAAAAAATTTATGGGTGTATGGCTTATGAAGGAAAACTCTCATCATATCTTTATGAGGAAGATTGCTATTATTACTGAAAAGAGGATACTGTGAATGAATGAATATCAGAATATGAGTTTCTGATATATATACGGTGAATACAAGCTAGGAAGAGAAGATAACTAACTAACAGAATAACAACTATTCTAACAGACAGAATGCTCATGAACACGTGCTCCATTTCAAGTTTTATCAGCTGCATTAGAGGCACTCGTGCCATCTTTATTTGTTAACTGTAAGAGTATGATTTACATTTTATTATTGTGTATTATGAATTGATTTCTCAGGTGCGGAATAGTACTACTATACTCACCAAGGAATTCATTGATTCTTTACCAAATGGATGGGAGGAATATGCATGGCGTAGAATCAACAAAGGAAAACTTCTGTAAGTAATTGTGTGGCTAAATTTTACTAATCAATTAAGTAATGTTGCAATAATAAAAAAAATCAACCTAAAAGGATGGCAGCCAAGCTAAACTGACATTTAACTCATTTATAGAAATGAGTTAGAGGAGCATGCTTTATATATCTGGTTATAAGTTGCCTGAATGATCATGCAAGTTTCATAACCTCAAATAGGGTGAATTTCTCCCTATAAAAGAATCTAGTAACGTGAGCTTTATATCCAGAAATAATGCATAAGATATCTTACTTGAACTGTGTTACGCTGTCAATTTGTCTGTCCGCACACATTTTTAAATTTTCTGTTAAGAAGCAAACCTCAAAATAGATTTACTAAGGTGAGAAATCAACATTACAAGAAAAATAGATTATATGCCAAGAGACTTACAAGATTCAGCGTATAAGCAAGCATCCAAATCATCTTGCAGAGGTTATAGGACCCTTTCTTACGTTGTCTCTTTCCCACTCAAACACCAGCTGCTACACACAACATAGACTTCTCAATTTATAACACATGCATCATTTTCCATGTTAACATACTTAGAATTTACCTATAGTGGTAAATTCAGGGGGTCCTTATTAAGAAGGAAATTAAAGTTAGTGAACTCGAAAGTACTTCATAGAATAAGATCATTTTTTGCTTCAGCAACCGCTGTGAGAACAAGACTTTGTGCATGGAGAAACTTTCACTGGTGCTCCCTGAAACTCCACCATACTTCCCAAGGCAGTTTGGACACTGTGCTGTTATTGGTAATTCAGGAGATCTCTTGAAAACAAAATTTGGGAAAGAGATAGATGATTATGATGCTGTCATTAGAGAGAATGGTGCTCCAACACAGGTTAGTTTCTAAACAGGGTATCTTGGTTGCTCTCTCTCTCTCTCCCCCCCCCCCCCCCCCCCCTCTCCCTCTCTCCTTTTTGAAATTCTGACCTTTTACACCTCAAATTTATTGATGACTGCAGAATTACACTGATTATGTGGGTAGGAAAAGCACATTTCGTCTTCTAAACCGAGGATCTGCCAAAGCACTTGATAAAGTTGTAGAATTAGATGGTATCACCACTAGTTATTTTGAGTACCACTTGTTATACTGCCTGTTATGAGTAACTGGAACCTTACTAGAAATGCTATTTCTGCAGAACAAAAAAAAGAAGTCTTGATAGTAAAAACAACAATTCATGATATCATGAGCAAAATGCTTCAGGTATGTTTCCTCCTCAACAGAAACACTTCCTTAATCTTTGCATCACATTTTTTATACCACATAGTCTATATGCACTTCGGCAATTTTTTGATGGAGTAGTAAATCCATTGCTTTGGGGTGAATTGTGTTATCAAGCTGTAATATACCCATTTTCTTTTTCTTTTTTTGGGGTAGCCTTTCATGCCCACTTGCATAGCAATTGGCTTTTGTTTTCTGCAGGAAGTTCCCATAAAAAATCCTGTATATCTCATGCTTGGTGCATCCTTTGGTTCAGCGGCAAAAGGAACTGGACTTAAGGCTCTGGAATTTGCGCTCTCTATGTGTGAATCAGTGGATATGTATGGTTTCACTGTGGATCCTGGTTATAAAGAATGGTATAGTATTTTCTATTGACAATTAAGTACTTTGGTTAAAATGATTATTTTCATTTGAGTCTAATAGTTTCCTCATTAGCTAGCATTACATTTTTCTTTTAGGACAAGATATTTCTCCGAATCTCGTCAAGGTCATACCCCATTGCATGGTAGAGCTTATTACCAGATGATGGAGTGCTTGGGAGTAAGTAAACTGCACTCATTACTGAATGTAGAAATCACTTAGAATCCGTTAATTTTTCATCATGAAACATGGCTTAGAGTTTGGTCCTAGGTTTAAGACATACTAATGGCTTCTTTAGGTACCAAAAGAAAGTAGAGTTTCCCCCTCCTATTATTGGCTTTGAAACCAAATCTAACCAAATAACCATGTTGTATATTAAATTTCTGTGTAGATATGTGTAGTTGTGTACACTGTACATCTTAAACCTTTTCTTTATAACTTTATGTCTCTGGGAAGACAATCACCTCATTTTGCCACCTTCACCAATTCACCATGCCTCTCTGTTTCTATTTTGTCCTCTCTGCTAATCAGAATTGATTGCCTTCTGCCCTTCTCCCTTGCCTTCATCTCTTTTTCTCCCTCCTTTCTATTCTTGACTTTCTCTTCTCTAGCCTAACCAAGTGATGCCCTCTACACTAAAATAGATAAATATGAAATAACTCCATCTCTGGTGCTGGCGTGTAAATCTGCATTTTGAACCCCACTGCTGCTATTGCATTTTCAACCACAACTACCTTTCCGTTTATGTTTCAGTGAAACTCTTACAATTTTAAGTTCAATAGATGCAAGGTCTATATTTCTTTTGAAAAACTAAGCTTAGAAGTTGTTTTTGACTTCTCAATCTGACCCATTTTTTTTAATTTTTCCCCTTGAGCGACTGACAAACCTGATTGACCTTACTGTTAATTTTTTACTTGATCCAAGATCATTCTGTGTTGAGTTATTGATATGAGTATGATCATCTTGTTGCTTGTTTTTCTAAATTTTAATTGTGTACTTTCTCTATCTGCTTCCATTGTCAAGCTTATCAAAATCCATTCTCCCATGAGAGCTAATCCAAACCGTGTTGTAAAATGGGTTCCAAGCGACCAAATTATCAGAAATGCTAGGATTGCATCAGAAAAATTATTGAGGTATTTTTTCCATACTCTCCGTGCCTATTGTTTTAACATTTTTATATCAATTTTACCAGGGGACCTGATGTATAATTACAATTGAAATTGTCTTAATATATCATGTCTTGAGCGAGACAAATTTGAAATTGTGATCCTGCGCAAGTTGAGTGTGATATCTAGTAGTTTATGTTACTCCAACAAATACAAAAGCTTTTCCGACTAGTTGAGGTTAGCTATGGACCAAATGACATCATTGTATTCTATAAAAAATTTGGTCTTCAGAGGCCATTAAGATCTAAGTCCTTTCTAATGGTTTCAAGTTTTTCTTGGTCGCACTTTACCTCTAAGTCTCTAACTTTATGGCTATCTTCCATTTGATCATCTACATTGTCGAACCATCTTAGGCGTGACTCTATCGTTCTTTTTCTTAATAGGTGCTTCTCTTACTTTCTCTGCATCATTTTTTATCTTATCAATTCTTGTATGTACATTCATCCATCAGCATTCTCATCTCTACAACATTTAGCTTATTCTCTTGTTGGCACTGACTGCCTAGCATTCGTTATCTCAAACCATCCTTTAAGCTTAAGAGGCATCCTTCGATCACAAATAACACATCAAGAATTCCTCTATATCACCCACCTATCTCCCTATGATTTATACCTCCCTCTATTTCTGTTACTTTGTATGATAGATCCAAGCCTAAACCATGCGACCTGTGATGTGGTATGATCTCCAATCTAGGGCTTTATGTTAACAAAAAAAAAAAAAAACGGTTTAATAGTCAATTATTAGACCCGGCATGTCTATGAGTAAGTTTTTGACCTGTTCCCATTGAAAACTGGCAAATCCCAAAGGTTATGACATTTTTTTATGGTAATACCCAGGTTATAACTTCATTTGGCATCTGTCATGCACCTCTGCTAGGCCTTCAAGTAATATGTCCAACTTTAAAGTCAGAGATATCAAATAGTAAAAGTTTTAGAATGCACGTTGTATTGATCATTAGCCTAATGCAAACACCGCACTTGTCTCGCCCACAGTTGTGGCACGTTGTTAATTGTTGTTTGAAATTAATTGAGCAGTGCATAGTGAATGGAGATTGATTCCATCTGACACTAGTTGAAATTTTCTACATTTTATGATTCTTACAGGAGAGTCGGAGCAGGATCTGGAGATCCACTGGGTGCATGTTCCATTATTGAGAAGCTAGTTAAACGAAATCTAAATGCAGTTTCAAAGCTCCGAAAGTCGGCACTTGATCACATAAAATACGTCAAGAGCACAACCATGTATCCTTTGGAGCATAGTCCTGGACATGGATTGCTTTGCACTGTGTCAACTGAGTGACTATATAGTGATTTATTGAGTTCAGCTCGTGCTGTCAGGAAGCATCTAACCCCCCAAAATTTTACCAAATCTTTTGTTTGTTCATCTTTTACAAAATATATTTGTTTATTGACGCTAAAAAAATAGCGATGAAGCACCCTTCTCCTCAACAATGTGTCAGCAAAGCCCTATATATTTTAACTCATCCCCTTCCTGCAGAGGCACAACAGTTTAGTTTTTTTTTTTTTTTTTTTTTTTTTTTTTAACTACAAATGGGCCACACATAAAAAATTGTGCCTGCAACAGGCGAAGTGATGCCTCCTGTTGCAACTCTAATACCCATATTTTATTCATGCTCATCCCTTTTTTTGTCAATTTTTTTTTTTGTTTTTTGTTTTAAATTGCAGTTGTTTAATGAAATGATGCAGAACAGCTAGGAGAAAGTTTTGTGTCATGTATATTGCTCTGTTGACATACAATGAATTGAGCTGTATTTTTTGCCCTCTTTGAATAGTTTTAGAGCAAGAGTTAGAGCTTGACATGCTCCTGTATGCCTTGCTGTTTTCGTTTTGAACTATGTTGCACTATTTCCTTTGAATCCTACTGGAGTAGTTCTGGATTTCTTAATAACTCACATTAACATACATAGTTTCCATGTTAGAAATCTTAATGAGCAGCACACCTCAAATATGGTAGATGTGTTTTTGTTCAATATGTTTGCTTCAAATCATAATGTTTGGGTGGTGATAACATTTCACATCTCATATAGTATCGCACGCTTCCTTTTAAGTTTTCCAGTTCTTGGTTTTGATCTACTTGAGCCATTATTCCCTCATTGGATGCTTGTAGCATAAAAAGGAATAGTTGAATAAACTTTTGAAAGATTTGCAGGATAGTATGAGTTTTATCCAAGAATGAGCTACGCTATTGATGTATAACTTTTAAAATGGACTAAACTATCAACTTTTAAAAATTAAGAAGAGCATAGGTGATTAAAAGTAGAATAGAGTTAATCTCTCTGAAGAAAATATGTTATAATTTATTATAAAAGGGTGGTTATTTTTTTTTGATAGCCTGTGGGTTTTTATTATAACAAAAAAATTATAAATAAATCTACAACTTGATTTTAAAAATATATTACTTATTATTATTTAGGTTGCTTAAAGTTTTTTTTTTTTTAATATCTCCATAAAGTTGTCGATTACCCAATAATACACTTCCAATATAGTCAAACTCATTACGCGAAATATATGTCAACTTACTAACAAATCTAATATCAAGGATAAAAATCACACAGGTATGACTATTAAAAAATGCATTTTTTTGACGGAAAAATTCTGTCAAAAATTATAAAAATTCCGTGAAGTTTTCGACAAAATTCAGGCTGTCAAATTTCTTTTTGCTGATAATAATTTTTACGAGGGAATTAGAGATTCCGTCAAAAAAATTTGATAGAATTTATTTTCGTCAAAAATTTTCAACGAAAAATCAGTAGAATTTTGTCGAAAATAGTTGCGATGGTTTTCGACGAAAAATGGATTCCGTCGAAATTTTTCAACGGAAAATCTATGAATTTCCGTCAAAAATTGATGTAAAGATTTTTCACGAAAAATAAATTTCGTCAAAAATTATCCACGGAAAATTAATGAAATTTCGTAAAAAATTTGCAACGAAAAATCAATGAATTTCTGTCGAAAACTGATGTATAAATTTTTGATGGAAAACAAATTCTGTCGAAAATTTTTAGAGATTTTTTTTAAAAGTTTATCTTCAACAAAATCAATACCAATTTTCTATACTGCACTTGATAAAAAAATATAATAATAATAAAATAATGTGTCAAAATCAAATCTCCTTAGTTAATACATTAAATGCATAAAAGTCCATATCATATATTAGGCCAAGTATTACAAAAGGTTTATGCAATTAGGGAGCGGTGTACAATAAATATATATTGTACTCAAATCGAAGAGTGATAAGTTTTGGACTTAGTATCATAAGCCTCTTCTTCATACACATTGATAATGATTTTAAGTGGGTGAACATGAAATATTCCTCCCTGGTGAAGGCTCTCCTTGACTTGAACCCTTCTTGGTCTTTTTTCTCTATCTCTGACCATCTTCTTCTTCATCAGGAGCATCATCTTCCAATTTGGAACTATTCACGGTGGGGAAGTGTCTGATTAATAAAATCACATTATAATGAATCCCTAAGATCATGTTTTAAAATAAATTTAAGAAAAAATAAACACGATATTTTCGGTCAAAAATTTGCTACCGAATCTGATTCCCTTTCGACGGAATCTCAATTTCGTCGAAAAGTCCACAAATATAATTTCTTTTTACATTTATTTATTTTCAAATGTTTTTGACGAATTTCGTTTGCATAAAAAAATTTCGACAAAATCTCAATTAGGTCGAAAAGTCCACAAATACAATTTCTTTTTACATTTATTAATTTGCAAATATTTTAGACGAAATTCGTTTTCCATCAAAAAAATTTGATTGAATTGCAACTCCATCGAAATTTCCACAAATATTATTTTTTTTTACATTTATTTTTTCAAATATTTTCGATGGAATCGCAATTCCATCGAGAAATCCACAAATGTAATTTTTTTCACTTTAATTTTTTTCAAATGTTTTCGATGGAATTCGTTATTTGTCAAAAAATTTCTACGTAATCGCAATTCTGTGGAAAATTTTCGATGAAATATAATTTTCGTCGAAAACTTGGACGAAATTTGTTTTGCGTCGAAATTTCTGTTGTTAATTTTGACGTAATATTTTTCGTCAAAAATTTCTGTCGAAAATTGAGCAATTCGCCTCACCTCATTATTAACTCACCAAAAAATAAATCAGCCCGCCTTTCCCAATTTTTGAAAGTGAATTAAAAAATTTAGCCCTACCTGCCCTATTTGGCAGACAAGGCAGGTTGGCCAACCGAGCCGAACACAATTTGCATTAAAAAAAAAAAGTTAGACAAAGCAAGTTAGACAAGTTGACAATTGTAAAACTTGGCCCATCTCATCCCATTTTTGGGCCCGTTTAGCTTTACGTGTAATATTTTTTTTAAGAATTAAATTTTATATTTATTATAAGGTAATGAATCACATGAAATCTAGCTAATATGCCAACAAACTATATAAAATACATAAATTTAATTGGGTGAATAAAATATCCAATGTTACTTTAAAAAAATTTGTCTAATATTTAACGAAACGACGTTATTTTAAAATTAAAAAATTAGAATGCCAAAAACTATTATAATTCTGGAATAAATTAAAATTATAAACACACCATAATTTTTGCCCTAAAATAATATGGTTCCAGTAAATATGAGATAAAATTTGCTAAAGTAACGTGAGAAAAATTGAACCCTTTAATTAAAACAAAATTCTATAAATCTAAAACAAAAACATTAAAAAACAATTCTGTTCTATTTACCCAAAAAAAAAAACAGTTCATAGGATTATTATTTTATTGAGTAAAGCTCTTTTTCGATAACAAACAAAAAATACGGTTTCCAGTTCCATTCCTTACAAAAAAAATATCCATGTTAATTATTTTTTAGGTACTAAGTTGGGTGTTTACTGAATTTATGAGAACCACATTTTTAAACAAACGAAATAAATTATAGAGGGACCAAAATTTTTTTTTGTAATGATAAAAAATGGGAACCGTATTTTTTGTTAGGATTTTAGGGATTCGCTTTTTTTGCAGTTATTGCAGATAAATTATCTGCAGTAAGCTCAATACGAAGTTATTTTGAGACGAAAATCATGTTATTTTTTATAATTTAAATTTATTTTAAGATTATTTTTGTCTTTATAATTATAATTTTTTATATTTCAATCTTAAAATAAAGTTATTTTGAAAATAAATACAAATAATTTATTCACTTGCAGAAATATTTTTATGATATTTTATTATTATTCCTTGACTTTCAATACAACACAACGCGACGCATACACACTAGTGAGTCCTGCTCCTATCGCTTCATTCACTCACTCCACACTCTGCGCGCTGTGCCCTCTGCCTTTCTTCTTATTCACTCTGGCTCTCACTATTTTATTTTTCTTTTTTTTCTTTTTATTTTTTAAATAATCAAAATCTCATCACACACAAAACCCGAACACCATAATCAAATCCCTCTTCAAAATCCTGAAATCGAACGAAACAGTAACAAGAAGGACTCTGTTTGTTTGCACTATCTCTGTTCTGTTGTTCACCCTCGGCGGAGACGGCAGTAAATGGCAGAGGTTCCGGCGCCGGAGGGGCAGATGAACGGCGGAGCAACGGTGGCGCTGAACCCCTCCGAACCCATCGGATCGAAGCGCCAGCGGAGGCCCAGCGTCCGATTGGGCGACATCGGAGACCAGCCCTACGATTCCCACCCTCGCCGGACTACAAAGCCTTGGAGGCTCGCCGTCGACAACCACCACCACCACCTCCACCGCAAGGACGCCGCCAACGCCTCAGGTAAACCCTCAAAGACTCGACCTTTAACCAATTTGTCATCGGGCAGCGCCGCCGCCGAGTTCGGCGAAACCCTAGAGGGCGAAGAGAGAGAAGGAAACTTGGACAGCGTCGTGATTGGTAGCTGGAAAGTGAAGGATTCTAAGAAGAGGGGTTCCGCCGCCACTAAGAGGGTCAGATCAAATTGGGTTCCGAGAATCGACGAAGAAGGTGGCGGTGGCTGTGGCGGTGAAGGAGAAGATAAATATAGCGGTGGTGAAGATTTGGAAGATGGGTATAGGGATTTTGAGGTGGAGATTTCGGAAAGCCCTATTCATTCTATGGAGAATTTGGGTGTTGATGGTCATGGGAATGAACATTATCATCAGGGGAATAGGAGGTCCATTAGGGGTAGGGAGCATCACGATGGGATTGAGCTTTCTGGGCCTTCTGATACTGATAGGAATGGTAATGAAGGAAGAGGGAGGTTTGGAGAAGATGGGGTCAGGATTTGGCTTAATGGGTTAGGGTTAGGTCGATATGCTCCTGTCTTCGAAATCCATGAGGTTGATGATGAGGTTTTGCCCTTGTTAACTCTAGAGGATCTCAAAGATATGGGGATTAATGCTGTTGGGTCAAGAAGGAAAATGTACTGTGCAATTCAGAAGCTTGGGAAGGGGTTCTCCTGAGTTTTTTTTTTTTTTTTTTTGGGTCTTTTTTACTTCACCTTATGTAGCATGGGAGAATTCTCAGCCATTGCAAATTAAGATGCATGTCTGAACTCTGAGTTGTAGAATATGTTCTCACATAACTTGTTAGGCTTTTGGAATGATTAGGTCCTCCCTCACATGTTCTTATTTTTGTCAATCCAGTGCAGGTACATATATGACTGCTAATTTTCTTGGAGTAGTTCTTTGTTGAATTTCCTGAAGTAATTCCTTGGTGTATCATTGATGAGTCGGAAAGACTAATCATGAGAGGGTGGGAAGGGGGGGGAACTCTTTTAAGGAATTCGGAAAGTTTTTGCTTATAACATAAAGGACGTGCTGTTTGATTTCTCCATTCTATCCATTGGGTAATGAAAGATGAATCTTTGTACTTTTTATGTGTGCATTCGTGGCTATCTTTTCCTCTTTGTACGTATAAATGTGCTATTATTCTTCAAGAGTTACCATACCAGAGGAATCAATAAAAGCCTTTTTTTGTTGATTTAACATATCATTTATGACATTTTTTTGTTAAATCAGTTATTGCAACTGTTTTTGTGCGTCTATTTTGTAGATATCGTTGCTGTTAGGTATGTTTAATACTATTATTGTCCTATCCAAAGTAGTTAATGTACTCTCTATGTTTAGTTACTTTTTTTCGGTGCTGCCTCCGAAGCCTTTTTGTTCTTGGGTGGATGGATGTTCAATGTGGTACGAGAATACATTTCATTTTTTCTCTTTCATAGGGAGTGTATTGTTGGTGTTAATCAGTGAATAATGTTGTTAAACAGAGATGATATAGAGCATGCAGTATTGCAAATCTTCTCGTTGTCTTATATATATAATGGTGGATGTGCCTACTGAAGTGGCAAATTTGGTGGTTAGTTGTTAGTGGATTATTTTGGTAGGGTGAATAAAGTATGTCGTCATCGCTTGAGAGGGTCTTGGTGCTTCTTAAGTTTGAGTACATATTTCCACTGTTTTCTACTATGTCCATGTTTGGATTAACACGATTTTAATTCTCCTGGTGGTGGGATTTACACAGAAAGAAATCTTCAGATGGTGGATCCTCTCATGCCCACACAAAGTGCAGTGTGGGTCCCACTAATCAATTATGGAATTATTGTTTGGGTTTACTGTTTCTTATATTGTAAGGGAGATATATTTATCTTTTATACACACATAAAAGTATGTAGGATTAATTTTTTCTTTTTTTTCTTTTTTCTCCTTACATGAGCTTGATATATTTTTATGTGTGTGTAGGAGATAAAATTTATCTCCTATAATATGAGAAATATTAACCCCATTAGTGATATAAGGAAGTAATGAGGGTTATAATGCCAAGGAGTACCCTTGTGACTTCTGCAATTGGGACCAAAGAATTTTCTCACGCTGAGTCTCGCCAGGCTAATAAAAGAGTGATTAATGGTGAGGAGTGGATTTTAAGTCTTGCAGTCTAGCCAGGCTAATAACTGATTGATTAATGAGGGAAGAATGTGTATTTGATGATTGCATTCAATGAATAGCGAGCACCTGCTTATTAGATGGCATTCAAATCATGTGCTAGTGAGGTCCCTAGAGGGACAAAAGTCAGAAACAAATAATGGCATTCAATATAACAGCCAGACCGGCAAATGTTATGATTCATACGCTAATAATAGTAGTGTTATATATATATATATATATATATATATATATATATATATATATATATATATATGAGATAAATAATTTTATCTATTTTTTTTTTTAGTAAATACCTTTTTAGTTCCTGTCAATATTCACGAAGTTCTTTTCAGTCCCTAGCAATAGAAAAGGGACAAATTGGTCCCTGAAATAACAAAAAAGAGGCCACGTTCATCCTTTCATTAACTTTCACCTAACGGCCCAACTAACGGTGCACAATTGGCACGTCAGTTTGCTGATGCGGCTTGGATGTGGGACACCGTGGAAGACGAGACGACGACGTTTTGGTCCCTGTCAAAACCACGAGGGCCACTTTGGTCCTATCAAAATGCACGATGACGTGTTTAGTCCCTGACAAAAAGCATGGGGCCCTTATTGGTCCCTAACCAGAGAAAAATAGGCATTACTTTTCTATGCAGTCCAATTTTGCAAAACAGAAGTGCATTACATCAGAAACAGGAGTGCAATCCAATTTTGCAAAACAGGAACATGACATTAAATTGGATTTGTATGCAGTCCAATTTGTTAAAACAGAAGACATGGATGTACAAGAATTACAACTACGTATAGTTAAAAAACATCAAAAATGGTAAACTTAAACATTCATCAACCCTGTGAAACATAATAGCTGGAACATGATTTGAGTATCATTATATTTGAAGACATGGATATACAGTAGTGCATTACCAAATAAAGTTAACTGTCAGGAATTAAAAGAAAGGCCTCTAATACAATATGGCCTGAATTTACAAAAAAAAAAAAACATTGACATAATAAGGCCTCCAAATACACAACGACCAGAATTTTCAAAAAAAGTCAGTCACATAATAATAAATCCTTCTTAGTTGGCTCATGCACTACTCCCAGGTCATTTTCTTAATGCAGGCCTTGGTGGCCTAAAACCAGGTGTGCTCACGAAGGCCAATAATCTGCTTCGTGTGCCACTGGTTGCTCCATTCATTGTTTCATTACTCAACAACTCATTTTTCTGTTGTGGATTTGATGGAGGTGGGCTGCTTCCTCTCAAGTTGCCTTCATGTGGATGAGAACTACCAACTGCGGCAGTCCAGTCAACTGCCATGCATTGCAATTATCAACAATCATTTACCTGGTTTCTTCTCTTATTTTTCTCTGTATTTAAATATCAACAATCATACAATTATCTTTTATAGAAAAATAAATAGTATAATTGTAATGTTACACTACTGAAGATATTGTTCGTAAATCGCATAACACTATGTCTTATACAGACTAAGAGAATTAAAGCAGTTCATAGTATTCTAGGGATCGTAAAAGCTGTTTGCAGGAGCCCAGAATCCTTTTTAACAAAGTGGGAAGCTTAATTAGCATTGAAAAAGAAATGAATAATCGTTAATAAGGTCGAAACTTCAGTTAGAAACACAAACTTCATTGAAATAAAATGCCAAGAAGGAGTATTTTACTTTGTGATGAAATTTAGTTTAATTACTTTGTGATGAACAAATGGATTGCACTCCTGTTTTTGATGTAATGCACTTCTGTTTTGCAAAATTGGACTGCATAGAAAAGCAATGAAGTCATGTGCCTATTTCTCTCTGGTTAGGGACCAATAAGGGCCCCGGGCTTTTTGTCAGGGACTAAAAACGTCCTCGTGCATTTTGACAGGGACCAAAATGGCCCTCGTGGTTTTGACAGGGACCAAAACGTCGTCGTCTTGTCTTCCACGGTGTCCCACATCCAAGCCGCGTCAGCAAACTTACGTGCCAACTGTGCACCGTTAGTTGGGCTGTTAGGTGAGAGTTAAAAGAAAGATGATCGTGGCCTCTTTTTGGTTATTTCAGGGACCAATTTGTCCTTTTTTTATTGCTAAGGACTGAAAAGAGCTTCATGGATATTGACAGGGACTAAAAATGGTATTTACTATTTTTTTTCATGCCTATGTTATTTACCACTCTCGAATATCATTAGATCATAATAAAGGTTAGTTGAAATTATGATTTAATAGTGTTGAAGAGTGATAGGTAAGGTAGGCATGGAAGAAAAGGTTGGGATATGTTATCCTACTTTTTTTTATGTCTATTTTATTTATCACTTTCTAATATCGTTAGATCATAATCTTTACAAGGTTAGTTGAGATTTTGATCTAACGGTATTGGAGAGTGGTAGATAAAGTAGACATGAAAAAAATGTAGGTAGAATAACGTATTACTATTCCTATATATATATATATATATATATATATATATATATATATATATATAATTTTGGACCGGTACAAGAATAATAAGTTTTATATCAAATTTTTTTTTTTTTGGTAGTCTGAAGGGGAAAAAACAACCTTAAATAGATCAAGTTACAACAATTGTACAGAAATTACAAACCAAAAAAAAATCAGTCAAATACAAAGGCCAAATACTAGGAGGGGGAGAAGGAAAAACACAAATTATTTTCCATATGATTATCCAAAGGAAATTTAGAGATCCAATCTGCACAACCATTATTCTCTCTGCAGGAATGAACCAGGCAAACTTCCCAATCTTTTTGTAACCATGCTCGAATACGAGTCACCAGGGAAGACTCTGGAGTTGCTCCTCCAGTTTTGGTGAGCAAAGTGATAACTGAACTGGAACCACTTTCAAGAATAATTCGTCTCCAACCACCAGCCCAGGCAATTTCTGTAACGCACGGTTGTTTCAAGAATCAATGACTATCCCCACACACTAACACAGGACTTTTCAGCACGCTTTATCCTCACTCTCACACTTCTCGGGAAAACTTCCCAGGAGGTATCCCATCCCAGAATTGCTTCAAGTCAAGCACGCTTAACTATTGAGTTCTTCCGTTTTTGGCTACCGAAAAGTAAATGCATCTTGTTAGTATATGTAGTACCAATTAATTCTTATAAGTTATCCGTAACTGTGCAGTCTCATTCCTGCATAGTCTTTGGAATCTCTCTCTTTTGGGTGTCGATTCGATTCATTCATGTAACCCCCGTTGGAAGCCTGACAGGAGCCGCTCCTTGTCTGTGCCCTTTCGCACCATGCCCTTTTGCACCGGCGATCATTCCCCGCCCTCGTCAGCGCTCGGGATGTTACATGCCTACCAACTTCTGCCAGGTTCATCCTCGAACCACATCGTACTAGAAGAGAGGCTCTTCTCTGATACCACTTGTAAAGCCCGATTGCTTCAATGATTATCTCCACAACACTAACACGAGACTTTTCAGTGTGCTTTGTACTCACTCACACACTTCCTGGGAAAACTTCCTAGGAGATCACCCATCTTAGAATTGCTCTAAGTCAAACACACTTAACTATATAGTTCTTCCGTTATGGGTTACTGAAAGTAGATGCATCTTATTAGTATAGGTAGTACCAATTAATTCTTATAAGCTATCCCCAACTGTGCAGTCTCATTCCTGAACAGTCTTTGGAATCTCTTTCTTTTGGGTGTCGATTCGATTCATTCATGTAACCCCCCTGGAAGCCTGACAG